GCTCAGATCAAGGAGTTCGAGCCCAGGTACAGCTCTTCTTCCTTTTTTCTTGTTTTTTTTCTTCCCTTTTTCTCTCTTTTTTTTGCTGCGATTGCTTCTTTCTTTTGGTGGTTGTTCTTGTTTGACTCTTACTCTCTGCGTCAAGATTCCGTCAGCTTTAGTGGGCTGGTCTGGACGTTCTTGTTTTGACTCGGGGATTTTCCTTTTCCGTTCTCCACTGTTCTTGCTCTTTTACCTTTTATCCGTTCCCAGCTTTTTGGGTGTTTTCGTTGGTGTTCTTAGAAGTTTTAGTGCAGTGACTCCGAGGACTCCGATGAAGAGGGCGATGACGAATCCCCCCAGTCGTGCTCCTGCGTTATACAATAGCATCGAATTTTCGCTGGAGCAATTGACACCAAGAACAAGAGAGCTAAACTTTTTTCTGGGACTGGAAGAGGAACAAAACGATCAAAGCCACCGGGACGGTCGCTCTGTATATTGGCTGTATTTCTACTGGCGCACCCGTCCGGGCTCACTACTTATCGCATTCCTCAAAACGCTGAGAAATTTTTTGTACGGGTCTTGTAATGTTCGTACGTTACCTTGCCAACCCTAAAACATCAATTATAAATGGGCCCAGTGTCCTTTAATTGCCGCCGACAACCTCCTCTCGTTCTAGAGAGCTATGGCTGCTGCTACTCTCGCGCACATCGTCGCAGTGCCCATTCTGCTCCAGGGCCACATCGCGCCCATGCTCCACCTCGCCCACGCCATCGCTCGCACCGGCAGGGCGATCGTGTCGTTCATCACCGCGGAATCTCACGCGCGGGTGCTCGCCGGATCCAAGCACTCGTGGTACTGGCAGGGGATTGACGAGTCGCGGCTGCGATTCCTGGGATTACCCGACTCGAGCGCTCGCAGTGGGCAGGGCGAGTGGATCGACGAGCAGGGACGCTGGCGGGGCGGCATGGACGCATTCGCTGGCGCGATGACGGGGCATATGGCAATGGAGGCGACCCTGGCGGCGACGATCGAGGGCTTGGAATCAGTCGATTGCTTCATCTCGGATTCTCTCTCGCCGGTGCTCGATCCAATCGCTTCCAAGCTCGGGATTCCTTTGGCGGCGCTCTGGACTGGGTCAGCATCACTGTTCGCGTTGTATCTCGACATCCAAAGTCTCGTCGACAATGGGTATATTCCAGTGCAAGGTAGAGAATCTTTTTGAATTTAAAAACTGTTTCAAAGAGTTGTTCTAGGCGGGAAATCGAGCGAGCGGGTGATAAGAGGAGTTCCTGGAATTCGGGAGCTGCAAGTCACTGATCTTCCAACTACTCTCTACACGGATCAAATCGATCCTGGATACCAGAAAGCCTACATCGCGATGGCCAGGCTCAGGGAGGTCCAATTCGCAATAGTGAATGCTTGCGAGGGGCTAGAGGGCGAGGTGTTGGCGGAGATCAGGAAGAGTCACCCAAATCTCCTTCCAGTCGGGCCTCTCGTCAAGATCCCTGGCGACGCTGATGACAATCACGGCCCCTTGAACAGCTCGAATGTAGGGCTGTGGGACGAGAATCACGACTGCATTACCTGGCTGGATTCCAGAGCACAGCACTCGGTCATCTACATCTCATTCGGGAGCATGAGCGACTTTCGATTCGAGGAGATCGAGAGCATCGGGCAGGGGATTGCAGCCACCGGGCGATCATTCCTGTGGGTTCTTCGCGAGGAGCTCGTGAGGGACATGCCGGAAGATTTCGTCAAGATGTTTGCGAGAAGGACGAAGGAACAGGGGATGGTCATCCCGTGGTCACCGCAATCCCAGGTTCTAAACCACAAGGCCGTGGGAGGATTCTTCACCCATTGCGGCTGGAGTTCGTGCATGGAAGCCATCCTCGCTGGAGTTCCCATGCTTGCGCTGCCCCGGTTTGTGGATCAAATGTTCAATGCCAAGGTGGTTTGCGACGATTGGGAGGTGGGACTGCGGATGATCCCAAAGGGCGATGTTGATGGAGTCGTGAGTAGGGACCGCGTGGAAGTGGGGATCAATGCGCTGGTGGAGAAAGGTGGCGAGCTGAGGAGCCGCGCGATGGAGTTGCGCAAGAAGGTCGGAGCTGGATCACGCGAATCGATCGAGGGGTTCATCGACTCGATTGTGGAAAGGAGGAAGGACTGACAGTTTGTTTGGTATCAAAGCAAACTAATCCTCGAGTGGGAGTGTGCCACAAATGAAATGGTATCGATCAAATGAAGCACAACACTCGAGAGAAGTGGCTGGAACTCATCGAGAATTGTGACAATTTTTCTACTGCCCGGCGCATTCACTCGGGAGTCCTTGGCCAACACTCGCATCTTGATGTTTTCGTGCTCAACAAGCTTGTGGGCATGTATGGCAGATGCGGTAGCCTAGCGCACGCCCGAGAGGTTTTCGATGCCATTGCTGCCAAGGACGCCTTCTCCTGGCAACTCCTGCTATCAGCCTGTGCCCGCAATGGAGCGCTCGGGCAAGCCAGAGAAGTTTTTCTCCAGATGCCTGACAAAGATTTGGTATCCTGGAATTTGCTGCTGGGAGCAAATTCTAAACACGGATCTCTCGAAGATACCAGGAAGACCTTCGATTCCATGCCGCAGTGGGATTGTTTCTCGTGGACCATCTTGCTCAATGTATATGCCCAAGCGGGGGATCTGGAAGACGTTAAGAAGATCTTTGATAGCATTCCAGTTAAAAACATCTTCATGTGGAGCACTATGATCAAGGCATTTCATAAAGATGGTGATGCTGCAAACGCGCAGAAGTGTTTCCACCACATTCCATTGCATAACCTTATAATCTGGAATGCGATGCTTACAGCTCATGCCCAAAGTGGGCATCTAGTAGAAGCGAGAAAGATATACGAGCAGTTTCCGGAATGGAATCTTGAGTCCTGGAATATAATCCTGGCCGCGTACGCCAGGAATGGTAAGCCGATGGAGGTGCGTAAAGTGTTTGAATCCATGGAGCAACGGAATCTAGTGTCTTGGAACTCCCTTCTTTGGGCATATGCCCAAGGCGGGCATCTAAGAGAGGCCAGGCGAGTGTTCCAATCAATGCCAGAGAGGGATCTCATCTCCTGGAACACGCTGCTCGATGCGCACTGCCAGCACGCCGGATCGATTGACGAGGCGAGGCTGCTGTTCGATACGATGTCACATCGCGACGCGGTGTCATGGAATTCGATCGTCGCGGGGTACGCGCGGGCTGGCAATCCCGAGGAATCCAAGCGTCTGTTCGATAGGGCTCCTCAGCTGGATCTTAAGATCTGTACCACGATGGTAGCGGCGCTGGCAGAGAGCGGCCAGATCCAAGAAGCCCGGGCGCTCTTCGATGGGATCCTCGAGAAGGATTTGGCGCTCTGGAACGCTCTGCTCGCTGGCTGTTGCCTGCGTTCGCAATCGCTGGACGAAGCGCTGGAAATCTTCAATGCGATGCCGCGGGTGAATCTCTCATCGTGCTCGTCCCTGCTCTCGTGCTACTCTCGATTCGGGGAGCTGGAGCGCGTCAAGCAGTTCTTCGATCGAATGCCGCAGCAAAATCTCGTGTCCTGGAGTTGCATGCTACTCGCGTATGCGCAGAACGATCGCCTGGATCACGCCAGGAGCTTGTTCGATCGGATTCCAGAGCGGGACCTCGTGTGCTGGAATTCGATCTTGGGAGCGTATGCCGGCAGTGGCGATCTGCACGAATGCCGCAAGATCTTCCAAGAAATCCCGGATCCAAGCGTGACCTCCTGGACATCGCTACTCACCGCCTTCGCGATCCAAGGGCATCTCGCGGAAGCCAAAGAGCTCTTCGATCGATGCCCCAATCGAGACACGATCATCTGGAACGCGCTGCTGGCGGCGTACGCGACCAGCGGGCGACCAGCGCTGGCGATGGATCTGTTCGCCAAAATGCCCGATCAAACGCCCATCGCTTGGACTTCCTTGCTAGCAGCACTTGCCGCGAGGGGGCATATTTTAAGATGCGAGGAATCCTTCGCGGCGATGAAAACTCTCCACGCCCCTGGGGAGGCGTGCTTCGTGCTGGCGCTGGCGGCGTCTGGGCACGGGGGTCGCGTGTTCGATTCGCGCCGCCACTTCCAGTCAATGGTGGCTGACTTTGACCTGGAACCCCGAAAGCAGCACTACAGCTGCATGGTGGACGCGCTGGCCAGGGCGGGCTACTTGGACGACGCGATGGAGCTCCTGGAGAATATGCCTTACCGCCCGGATACCGTCGATTCGATGTGCTTCCTGGCCGCGTGTAGGAGCCACCATGGCGACCGCCCCCTTCGTCTTCTCCACGAGGGCGACAAAGAATCGTCCACTTACGCGCTCCTGGCTAGCATTTCCAGCTCTAGAGTCACTGCTCCTTGATAGCAATCGATGGTATTTATGGATTAGAGGGACAAGGATCTCCGATCCATGAATTTGTCTAGATGATCAGGGTTTCTTGGACGAGGCCTCCTCCTCCCGGTCGACCACGGCGTGGAGCAAGCTATCGTCGCCCACGACCATCTCCATGGGCGAGCTGCCGAGGCCGTCGGCCACGGCCAGCAAGATCTGCTTGAGCTGCTCGCGGAACTCGGCGAGATCCACCTTGCCGTCGTGATCCATGTCGAACATCTCGAACGCCGACTGGTAGAGCGCATTGAGCTCCTCGGGGGTCTTGCTCACCGGGAATCCGCCCACAGTCTCGAGGAGATTGAGGCGCTCCAGCGCGACGCGGAGCTCCGAGCGCGAGAGGACGCCGTCGTTGTTGACATCCAGCTCCTTGAACTGGGGATCCACGGCCTTGATCAGCGCCGCCTCGTCCAGCGCGAAGTTGCGCACAGCGTTTCCATCCAACAGCACCACGCCCATCGCCAAAAGCACCAAAGCACACAAACCTTGAGAATCCTGGCCTCTTAACCGTTAGATAGTGTCGCTAATGCGAATATGCCCTAAATTTCGCGCCACGTGGCATTTAAAAAGTTTCCTTTGACATTTCTAGGGTTTGCCCGCGCGATTGGCTATGGCGGAGGGGCAGCGAAGAGAGGTTTTGCTCGACGACGACACGCTCATCGCCATTTTTCGGCTGCTGCTGCCGCGATCTCTTGCCAGATGCGCTGCGGTCTGCTCCCAATGGTGAGTCTCGATCGAAGCTTGCAGGAAATATGTCCCTGATCGATTCAATGCCTTGCTCCAGGCACAGGCTAGTAACTTCACAGCTCATGAAAGACGCATGCAGTAGACATGGGGGTTTAGTGTATAGCGATCCCTCGCGCTGCAAAGAGGCTATGATCAGAACGGAGCAGTTTGATCGACTTTTAAAATGCAACCCGAGAGTTCTTTCTTCTCAAGCTCACTCTGGCAGGTAAGCTCTATTTTTCCTCTTGTGATTTTCCAGCCCGAGGTTTCTCCAGAGTGAACTGCTGTCACTGGTCGATGGACACACTTGCAACAGGTTCCAGTGATAATGTAAGCTCGTCTAGAAAAAAATTTCTTACGTTTTCTTGCTTTTAATGCTTTATTTCATGGTGGCAGACTGTTAGTGTTTGGTCGATGGATTCCATGCAATGCATGGAAGAATACAGAGTTCCAGATAGCGTCGCAGCTGTTAAGTTTGATGGAAGCAGAGTAAGTTCTCTAGTTGCTGGCCAATTCAAAGACTTCCATCCAGATATTCGCAGCGGCTGGCAAGGATGTCCACATATGGAAACGTGGGAACCGCGAAACTCTTCGAGTTCTTGGAGGTCACAACCAACGCTTGCATTCTATGCAGTAAGCCTACGCTATCGAAGCTTGAAATGATTTTTCTTGATTGTTTTCCTTTCTGTTAGCTGCATCGATCCTGAGTTAGCGGTGGGCTGTGCGGATGGCACAGTAAGGATTTTCGACATGTACACTGCTCGCTGCTCGATGCTCTTAAGGTGCGTTCCTTTTCGTTGAATGAAACTCTCAGACGTTCTTTGCAGGCACCACACGGAAAAGGTAACGTGTATCAGATCTTTAAATAAGCCCAACGTACTAGTTAGTGGCTCCTATGACTGCTCCGTGCGACTATGGGATCCTTTGTCGGGGGAGAACGTTCGAAGCTACTTTCCGGCTTCTTCAGGTGCAGTCGCTCAACCCTTCGCAACTTCTATGAACTTGATAGCTCATCCCCTTACCAGCAGGCATTTCCTGTCTTCATGTGGGAAAGGACAGGATTGAGCTCATCGTTGGAACTGTCTTGGGCGACATAGATTGCTTCGATATCCGGTACAATCTCTTCAACTGCTTGGTTTTCAGCTAGTTTCAACGTTTTTTCTTTTGTAGAGTCGGAGGCAGGCGGCCTTTGTGGTCTAGGCGCAGTGGTAACGGTCCAATCAACAGCATCCACTGGCCAACCTATACACTCGACAATTCATGCATGATAAAGGCGATTCTGATCGGGGGAAACGATGGCAAGCTGCATCTTATCAATAGCGACACCGGCCGCACCTTTCGTACGTTTACGCGCGAGAGTCACTCTTCTCCAGTTTTATCAGCGAGGCTGGGACATACTCGGTTCGTGTCATGTCATGCCGACGGCACCGTGACAAGGTGGATATTTGATCAAGGACGTACCCGCGTCGGCTTGGCCATCTGCCAAGCGTACTAGATCTAATCAACTTCGTTATCAAGGTAATACTCTCCTTGTTTTTTCTTGTTTCCTAACGCCAAATCATCCCAGACATTTCAACAGAACATGAAAATCCAGAGACTAGTCCGCTGCATTGCTTTCAAGCAAAGTTTCTCGGCTTTTCCGGTCTTTGGAATGCGCATAACTTTCCTGGAATCCTCGAACCGCACGACTGTTGTCTAGCAGCCAGCACCAGGTTCTCGTTTTCCTAGCAATCTCTAGCACCTATTTTTTCTACTCTCCAGATGTGAGCGAGACAATGGCTTAACTTGAGTATAAGAGTCGCAACATGCATTGAAATAGCCAACGCTCAACGCTCAAACAATTATATGGGTACGCTTATGATCCGCCTTGTCTAATAGATCGACTAAGTTACTGCCTAGAAGGAAGTTTTACCGTACGTCGAGCTCCCAAGCTACCGGAAGAACGATCTTCGCTGCGACGATCGTGGAGTGTTGCTGTCTCACCCAGCCCCCACCGCCGCATGAAGGCCTCCGTCTCCACATCCTCCACTAATCCAGCTCGCGTCTTCATGACGTGCGTGGTGGCTCTGTGGAGCTCGACCTCGGCAGCTTTCATGATGCACGCCAGATCCAGGTCGTCCTCTTTCTTCCAGGTCGGGACGAACGCCTGGAAGTCGACGGAGTCCATCGCCGGCTCTGGGCTGGAGGAAGGAAGCTGGAGCTTTGGAACCGGGGCGGCTATGGGGATGTAGCGCGTGGAGGCGGCGTCGCCTTCGTCCTCCTCTTCCGGGATGGGTGCCAGTATCCAGTTGCCTTCGTAGACTGGGGATCCCAGAGGCTCGGGGGATTGAGCGGACTCGTCGCCTTCTTCGAGCATCTTGAGGAACTGCCGCGCGACCGAGTTGGCCTCGTCGTAAATGTTAGTGGCAGAGCGGTCAGTGCTATCAGCGGCGTGGTCCTCATGGATCTTCGGTGTGACTTTGGCGATGGCAAGCTCCTTGCCCGTCTCTGCTATTGAATCCACCTCTTCCTCCGAGCCGGTTGAGTCGTCCAGGCTGTAGTCTTCTTTGGAGATCTCCACGGGCTCTTCGATAGTCGGCTTCTTCTCGCGTCGCTTTGATGATGCGTCGGAGGTGCTCTGGATCTGTGCTTGAACGAGGGAGCAAAGCATGGAGTCGAGGCGGCTGTCCGGGGCGGTTCTCAGGTCCTCCTCGTCTTGGTTGTGATCTTCGCCACCTTGGTCGTTGTCCGAGCAAGAAGACGAGCACGCCTCCTGCGCGAGGCCTGCGAGATCGGGCATCGACTTGAGCGACTCGGAGCGGGCAAAGAGCGTGGACGAGACGTTGACGAGGCCGCTGAGAGGACGGAGCCGCCGCCAGAGTGCTGGGCGATTGTGCTGCTGCTCGTTGGCGAATCGGCAGCTCTCGGTTCGGATGGATGGATTTGAAGGAGCTGGAACAGCGGTTGCCGCAGCATCGCCACCACCACCACTGCTTTTGGAGAAGTTGACAAACTCGTACCCAATGCTTGCGACCACACTGGCGCCTTTGAGGTTCTCGGAAGCGCTGATCACGAAGGCGGCAGTCCAGGCGCTCGAGGCGGCAAAGTCGGCGGTGTCGCCGATCGCGTCTGGGAGAATGCTGCCGAGGTCGAGCGTGAGCTCGCCAAGAACCGCCTGATCGAAGCTCGACACGATGAGCAGCCGGAACGACTTGGACACCGGGTGCTTGATGGCGTGCGGCGAAGCCCTGGACGCCCTCACCTTGGAGTGGAGATGGAGCGTCTCCTCGAATTCAACGCTGCCATTGAGAGCTCGCGACGCCAGAGTCTTGGAAGAACGCGCCTTGCGCAGGCAGTGGACCTCGAGGAGGATGCCGTGCGTGAGGTAGACGGGGAGATCGCGAATGGCGTGGATGTGGATGGAGAAGACGCAATCGAATGCCCGGTAGTGGAAGAAGCGCCAGCCCCAAAACCTCTGCTGCTGCTGCTGCTGCTCCTGCTGCCGAATCGGATGATCCTTCTTCTTGCTGTTCTTCGCGTTGTTCTTCGCGATCTTTGGCTGCTCAAAACCCTGGGAGTGCGTGAGATATCGCCTCCATTCCCCCGCCTCGGGCCTTGGCGCTGCGTCTTTGCCTGCATTGTAGCTCACTGGCCCCGATCGCGACTGGCTCGCCGCGGCCTTCGATCCGGGCGGCTTGAGCAGCCTCGAGCTCGGCTTCTCGGTCGCATCAAACATCCTGCCCATCTCCCTGCCGAAATACCCAGCTCCAAACATCAAGAAAGTGCCGCCGCTGTCAAGAAACAACAGCTTACCGCGGCGATCGCAAAGAAAGAATGGTCAGCTCATGGCGCGGGCGCGCGCGCGCTGGCATGGAAGCGAAGAACCCTAAAATCCTCTCCCCACCACTCTCTGAATCAATGCAGCACACCGGCACTAAATCTTTGTTTTCTACTTCAAAATACCGGTAGCGCGGGATATGGGTTTGATCCTCGAGGGCCATTTATTCCAACGCCTGGCAAAATCTGGGCCGTTGATCTGCCAAGGCCAGAATTTAGAGTAACTTTGCCGCATTTTTAAAAAGTCACACTCCATTTTTAGGGCTCTTGCCCATGAGCCTCTAGGGTTTCAATTCCTTTGAGACAAGAATCCACAGCGCCTTGGAGCGGCCGTGGGCGCCGCGATAGATCCGCTCTCGCAACTCGAGGTACTGTAAATCCTCCCGTGCTCTCTCTGTTCAAGGTCGAATTTTTTTCTTTCTTTCTTTCTTTTTTTCTTTCGTTTTCTTTGGTCCGGCCCTTTCGTGAATTGCCCCGATCTGCGAGAATTTTGCCTTGTTTTCCTTAGCTCGACAAAATTGCAGGGCTGCATGTCCGCTACTTCTTGAGTTTTCTAAGAGTTTGTAAAGTTAGCGGAGAAAAGCAATTGGGCAAACACCTTGTGTTTGTTCCTGTGAGGCGGAGGAAAAAAAAAAAAGACCCTACAAAGCACGCTGGGAAAAATGCTACTGGATATCAAAAACTGTGTATGAGACACATACTGGAGAAAGATCCTCTTATTTTACCTGAAAACTTCGATCTCGATCGACTCTTTGCTTTTTTCTTGTGAGTGTGCCTTTTGTGAGTGTGCCTGGTGTCATTACTTCTTTGACTATCACACCACTGTTCTCTCTCGTATTGCTTGCTCGCTTGCTTTGCGTGCTGGAGCTTGAGTGTGGCTTCAGTGTTCTTCGTTTTGCTTTGCTTCGTTTTTCTGGTTCCTCGTTTTTAATGGTTGTTGACAGTGGCATAGTTGTATAACAGGTAGTGAAATCTCTCTCAGAATGCCAAAGGATAAAAGTAGCAGCACTTTCTCAAATAAGTCTCATGATTTGTTTTACAAGCCTTACTCGACAACGCGGGGGGCATCGCCCAAGCAGGAGGACACCGCCGAGTGGGAGGACGTGACTTGCCCGATATGCATGGAGTCACCCCACAACGCAGTGCTCCTCCTGTGCTCCTCCTCGGACAAAGGCTGCCGCCCCTATATGTGCGATACCAGCTATCGCCACGCAAACTGTCTAGACCAGTACATCAAAGCTCACGCGAAAGCTCAGTCACCCAGCAACGCCAGCGTCAACACCTTCATCACCAGCGGCGGCGGCGGCGCATCTCTGAACTCACCGGCTGCTCGCTCCGCCGCCACCTCCGCCGCTAGAGGACCGACAGACATATCCGGACATATCGAGCTATACAAGGCTTGCAAAGGCTTGGAGCTCGTGTGCCCGCTGTGCCGGGGCAAAGTTAGCGGCTGGAAGGTGGTGGAGAGAGCCCGGCAGAAGCTCAACGTGAAGCGGCGGGGCTGCGCTCACGACTCGTGCGCGTACGTCGGGGCTTACGACCAGCTGCGCAAGCACGCCAGATATGTGCATCCTTACGCTCGCCCCTCGGAGGTTGATCCGGCTCGCCAGAGGGACTGGTGGCGGCTCGAGAGCCAGAGGGACTTGGGCGACGTTTTCAGCACCATCCAGTCGGCGATGCCGGGGGCGACCATCGTCGGGGACTACGTGATCGAGGATGGCGACGAGGAGGACGAGGAGCGGGACGAGGAGCACGAGCACGAGTTCGATCTGGAGCACGAGCACGAGGACGACGACGACGACGACGACGACGACCAGTTCCACGACAACAACGCTGGCGTTGGCGGTGGTGGCAGTGGTGGCGGTGGTGGTGGTGGCGGCGGCGGCAGCGGTGCTAGCGGCTCGCCCGTCGCCGGTGTGGACCGCAACTTGTGGACGATGCTGTTTCTCTTCCGAGTCTTTGGGGGATCGTCGTCTTCGTCCTCTGCCGCTAGCAGCCGAGATCATCACACGAGCAGCAGCGGTGGGAGCAGCCACTCTCATCACCAGCAGCAGCAGCAGCATCGCGCTCACGGCGGCAGCAGCCGCCAGCAGCATTACCAGCCCCGTCACCGCCATCACCTCGGTGTGGCTCCGCCGCCCAGGAGCTACCGAGGAGCCACATCGCCATACTTTGCGCCCCGTGGTGGTGGAAGCTCCTCGAGCGGCAGCAGCCGCGCTGCGATAATGGATCGCAATAGGACGACGACTTCGTCTTCGTCATCGGCGTCTAGAAATCGACGCCGGAGCCACCATCGCTGAGCAAAGACGAGAGCAAAGTTCTTATTTCTTCCTTTTTTCAAATCAAATAGCCCGCCCAAGGGTATATTCCACTTCTCTGCTTTTTTGAATTCAAATCACCCGCATATTCTATATCATTTTTAGGGTTCTTGGGGCTAGGGTTTATGGCGACCGCGATCTCGTGGAGCGCGCATTCTCCGCCTCTCCCGCAATGCGGCGTCTCGATCGGAGTGTTTCGAACGTCCCGAGCAGGGACATCGGCTTCGGCGGCGGTGGCGCCGTCCTGTGCCACTGGTGCCGACGAGATTTTCAGCGTGCGCGGTGCCGAGGAGGCGTCCAAGCAGATCGAGACGAGAGTCGCCAAGCTGGTGAGTGCCTTCTCGTCGCCGGGGGGGAAATCACAGGATCTGGAGGGCGTAGCGCTGTGTCCTCGTGTGGCGGGGCGTGTCCTAGAGAGGATGTCCGACCCAGATGCCGCGCTGCGCTTCTTCCACTGGGCGAGCAAGCAGCAGGGCTTCGATCACAACGTCTACACCTACAATCGCCTGTTTGAGGCGCTGCTGCGGGCTCGCCGGATCGATGAGACTTGCCACATCCTTAAGAACGGGTGGCCTCCCGGGATCACGCCCAACGTCTTCACGTATGCTGTGGTGATCCAGAGCCTGTGTAAGTCCGGGGATCTGGACAAGGCTTGCGAGCTCCTGGAGGAGATGAGAGAATCCGGGCCCGTCCCAGATGCCGCGATTTACAACTTCGTCATCCATGCTCTCTGCAAGGCCAGGAACACCGCAAAGGCTCTCGACTACTTTAGAAGCATGGAATGTGAAAAGAATGTGATCACGTGGACCATTATGATCGATGGCCTCTGCAAGGCAAATCGCCTACCCGAGGCCACCACCTATTTCGCGAAGATGAAGAAGAAAGGTACTGTGCCTAACGAGTGGACTTACAATGTGCTGATCAATGGATTTTGCAAGGTACACAAGGTGCACAGAGCCTACTTGCTGCTCAAGGAGATGAAAGAGTCGGGGCTTGCTCCAAATGTGGTGACTTACAGCACGGTTATCCATGGATTCTGCCGGCAGACAAAGGTTGACACGGCTTACAAGCTCTTCCGGCAAATGGTGGAGAACGGCTGCATGCCAAACCTTGTGACTTACAACACGCTGCTCTCGGGGCTGTGCCGCAATGGGCTCATGGACGAGGCTTATGAGCTCTTGGACGAGATGAGGGAACGGGGGCTCCAACCGGACAAGTTCAGCTATGACACCCTCATGGCTGGGCTTTGCAAGACTGGGAAGATCGATATGGCTTTGAAAGTCTTCGAGGATAACAGCAACGGTGATTGTCCTCCGGACGTTGTAGCTTACAGCACTCTCATCGCTGGGCTTTGCAAGACTGGAAGGCTTGACGAGGCTTGCAAGCTCTTTGAGAAAATGCGAGAGAACTCCTGCGAGCCTGACGTTGTCACTTTCACGGCACTCATGGATGGACTGTGCAAAGGGGACCGTTTGCAAGAGGCGCAACAGGTTTTGGAGACGATGGAGGACCGGAACTGCACTCCCAACGTGATCACTTACAGCAGCCTGATCGACGGGCTTTGCAAGACTGGCCAGGTGCGAGACGCTCAAGAGGTTTTCAAGAGAATGATAGTCCGGGGCATTGAGCCAAACGTGGTGACTTACAACAGCTTGATCCATGGCTTTTGCATGACCAACGGGGTAGACTCCGCACTTTTGCTGATGGAAGAGATGACAGCAACAGGGTGCCTTCCGGATATCATCACCTACAACACACTTATTGACGGACTTTGCAAGACGGGAAGGGCGCCGGAAGCGAACAGGCTGTTTGGAGACATGAAGGCCAAGTTTTGCAACCCGGATGTTATCACGTACAGCTGCTTGATCGGCGGGTTTTGTAAGCTGGAGAGGATCGACATGGCTCGCACGTTGTTCGACGACATGCTCAAGCAGGCAGTCCTCCCCGATGTCGTCACTTTCTCGACACTAGTGGAAGGATACTGTAATGCTGGACTGGTGGATGATGCCGAGAGGCTTCTGGAAGAGATGGTTGCCAGTGACTGCTCTCCGGACGTGTATACTTACACAAGCCTGGTCGACGGCTTCTGCAAAGTCGGAAGAATGGTGGAGGCGCGCAGAGTTCTCAAGCGAATGGCCAAGCGGGGATGCCAGCCCAACGTGGTGACTTACACCGCTCTCATTGACGCGTTCTGCAGAGCTGGGAAGCCGACAGTGGCTTACAAGCTGTTGGAGGAGATGGTTGGCAACGGCGTCCAGCCGAACGTTATCACGTACAGGAGCTTGATCGGTGGCTTCTGTGGGACTGGGGACCTGGAAGAGGCTCGCAAGATGCTCGAGAGACTGGAGCGCGACGAGAACTGCAAGGCGGATATGTTCGCGTACCGGGTGATGATGGACGGGCTGTGTAGAACAGGGAGAATGAGCGCAGCTCTGGAGCTTCTCGAGGCCATCAAGCAGAGTGGCACGCCTCCTCGCCACGATATCTATGTGGCGTTGATCAGGGGGCTGTGCCAGGGGAAAGAGCTCGGCAAAGCCATGGAAGTTTTGGAAGAGATGACGCTCTCGAGGAAAAGCAGGCCAAATGCCGAGGCTTACGAGGCGGTGATCCAGGAGCTAGCGAGAGAAGGGAGGCACGAAGAGGCAAACGCGCTCGCAGACGAATTACTTGGTAACAAAGGCCAGTAAAGAGAGATTGTAATCACAAATCCTGAATATTGTGTGAATACTATAGATGTTCTCCTGGTATGTTTCCTAAGGCTTTTGCAGAAATCAACAACAGTGGCCTTAAAACTTATGTTCCATACCACTCATTTGCTAGCGATAAGTCAAAGCCTATATATCCATCGTGTCATAACAGAATGTCATTTACTTTTTCAACCCGTGAGAATTGTAGATCTCGTTAGCAAAAATTATTCACAAGACCCTAGATCACATCCATAATAGATGGATCACCAGCATCACTTTTTCACCTCATTGTTAACTTTCAATTTTTCCGTAATGATTCCTTTGAAAGTGATAAAAATGATTTCATTATTCTCAATTGTAAATCATAAATTTTTCTTTTTCACTTTGTCTTGGTTTTAGTTATGTTCCAATTTTTTCTTAGCCTTATGTATATTCATTTACATACTACACGAACAACCAAAGGTTCCCACTTATTGTACTAATTCATTCTTCGCCTTATGTAGATTCAACTACGTGCTACATGAATAACACGAGCAACACAAGCAAGAGAACAACCATTCAACTGTTCAGTTTCTATTTTTATTTATAAAGCCCTCTTTCACAGTTTAAAGTTCACATAAGACTCTTCTTTCATGGCTGTTTCATCCATTGTGAGCATTTTTGCAGCGGAGAAAAGCTATTCCATTCCACCAGTGTGTAAACTCCTTGCCTCTCCAGTGCTGAATCCTCTGTACGATGCAAAGGCCGAGTCTCAGATCAATGCGTGGTGCGCCGAGTTTCTGAAGTTGCAACCTGGAAGCGAGAAAGCTGTCTTTGTTCAAGAAAGCAGGCTTGGATTGCTCCCGGCTTATGGTTACCCCAGCATTCCATACGAGAAGATTGTTCCGGTTGCAAAGTTCTTCGCTTGGTACTTTCATGCAGATGACATTCTGGATAGCCCGGAGATCTCCTCGTCGGACATGAGGAATGTGGCAACTGCATACAAGATGGTTTTAAAGGGAAAATTCGACGAGGCCACGCTTCCAGTGAAAAATCCGGAGCTGCTGAGGCAAATGAAGATGTTATCTGAGGTCTTGGAAGAATTGTCCCTCCATGTAGTGGATGAATCAGGCCGATTCGTGGATGCTCTGACCAAGGTGATCGACATGTTTGAGATTGAATCGAGCTGGCTTCGCAAGCAAATCATTCCCAACTTGGATACATACCTCTGGCTGAGAGAGATCACATCTGGTGTGGCTCCTTGCTTTGCTCTGATTGATGGTTTGCTGCAACTTAGGCTGGAGGAGCGTGGCGTGCTGGATCATCCTCTCATACGCAAGGTTGAGGAGATTGGGACGCACCACATTGCGCTCCACAATGACATGATCTCGTTCAGGAAGGAGTGGGCGAAAGGATACTACCTCAACGCCGTGCCCATTCTCGCCAGCAATTGTAAGTGTGGCTTGAACGAGGCAATTGGCAAGGTTGCGAGCATGGTGGAGGATTTGGAGAAGGATTTCGCCCAGACAAAGCATGAGATCGTTTCAAGTGGGCTTGCCATGAAGCAAGGAGTCATGGACTATGTGGACGGGATAGAGGTGTGGATGGCCGGAAGCGTAGAATGGGCATGGACGAGCGCTAGATACCATGGAATTGGGTGGATCCCTCCTCCAGAAAAATCAGCGACCTTCCAACTCTAGATTGTTGCTCAAATAGTAAATAATAATTTCTCTCATGGAGTGTTTTAGAAATTCATATCTAAGCAGTGTTTTCGTCCTGAACAAGCAAATTGAAATGCACGGTAGATGTGGTAACATCAAGCACGCAGCTCAGATCTTCCATGCTATGGCCAAGAGGGACAAGTTCAGCTGGGATCTTTTGCTGGTTGCCTACTGCAAAAACGGGCACTTTGATGAAGCGCGAAGGTTCTTCAGCTGCATGCCGTGCTGGAGCCTTGTGTCATTTACTACTATGATTTCTGTTGCCTCCCAGAGAGGCCAAATGCAAGAAATACAATCCGTTACAAACTTGATGCCAGAGCACGATCTTTTCTCTGTAAACGCGGTGCTTTTTGCATTTGCCGAAAATGGGCATCTTGATTTTGCCAAGGTAGTCTTTAGCAAAATGCCTGCTCGCAACTTGGTGTCGTGGACGACGATGCTGGGGGCTTTATCTCAGCTCGCGGATGTGGAAAGCACTTTTGAAGAGATGCCGGAGCACGATGTCGTCTCGTGCACTTGCGCAATTGCAGCATTCTCCCGTCACGGGCATCTGGAGTCTTCTCTGGAGCTCTTCCACGCCATGCGTGTGAGGAATCTCTCGACTTGCACGGCAATCCTCTCCGGCTACGTCCACTGCGGCCTCCTGAAAGAGTCTGAGCGCTTCTTTCACGATCAGATGCCACAGCACGATCTTGTCTCCGTCACAACGCTGCTCGTCGCCTACACCCAAAGCCAACGCCTTGAGGAAGCCAGCTGCCTCTTTGATTCTCTTCCGTACGTAGATGCCGTGTGTTGGAACGCCATAGCCACGGGATTTTCCCAGTGCGGCCTCCTGGACGAAACCACGAAAATCCTCGACAAAATGCCGGCATGGAATCTTGCAACCTGGAACACGCTGCTAACATCACACTCCTTGCAAGGGAATCTTACCGGGGCTATAAGAGTCTTTCACGAAATGCCAGACAAGAACTTGGTGTCGTGGAACGCCATGCTCTCGGCATATGCCCAAAACGGGCATCTTTCTCTTGCAAGGAAGGTGTTCCAAACGATGCCCTTGCGCAGCGTTGAATCCTTCAGTGCAATGCTGACCGCATATGCCCAAGCCGGCAGCCCCAGCGACGTGTTTGATTCCTTCGAAGAGATGAAGCTAGTGGAGATGCCCGACGATTCCTGCTTCACTTTGGTGCTGATTGCGAGCAGTCAAGTTGGCGAGCCCAAAGTCGGCGGCTCCTACTTCAGCTCCATGCGTCTGGATTACGGGGTGGTGGCGAGGAAGCAACACTACTGCTGCATCGTGGACATGCTGGGGCGAGCGGGATACCTGGATGCGGCGGAAGAGCTTGCGCAAACCATGCCTTTTCTTCCCAACTCGTGGGACTGGACGTCCATGCTAAGTTCTTCCAGACGCGATAGAATCTGGAAAAACGGTGCTCGAGTGACGAAACGAGCTTTGCTTTCGGGCCCCAGCGATGGAGCTGCTCTTGTGCTGCTCGCAAACTCACGCTCCTCTTGATTCTTACTACTTTTCCGAAACTTTACCTTTATAGAATGGGTTATCGAATTTGGGCTCATAATGGAGCAAGAAGCTCAATCGTTCTTCGATTCGGCCCCGCCTCTCCGATGGACGATGTGGTCGCGAGCGTGAATCGCTTCTTGGATATCTGGAAGGCGGCATCGGCCATCGGCCAAGGTTTATCCTTACTAGCATTTCTCATATTTTGGAGCCGAATCGCGTGATTCTAGAGGAGGCGCATTGCCGTTGTTACATCCGGGGGCACGACCGTGCCCTTGGAGCGACGATGCGTTAGGGTCATTGACAATTTCAGCTCGGGGAGTCGATCGGGAGTCGATGAGCAGCCTCCACAGAGTGCGTTATTCTTTTCTACTCATTCTTCTTTTATGATTTTTCTTTTTTTTTTTTTTTTTGCAAGGTACTTTTGGCTGCATGCAAGAATGTCTCGAGCCTGTGGATGGATCAATCCGGGGTAAGTGAAATCTGCCATTTATTTCTTCGAGAGTTTAACTCCTGCTTCGCAGTACGAGAAAAATGGTTTGATGTTGTGACTCGGGCAGTCACAGGACATCATTCTGTAAGCTCAGTTCTTGTTTCTCTTTTTGAGTTCTTAAGAATCAAAACAGGCGGTGCTCCAGAAGAAGCTGTTGAAGCTCGAGTTCACTACGCTCTTCGAGTACCTCCAAGTAAGAAATGTGCCGCGCAAACACTGGTTTCTATGACGGTTTTTCGTGGCAGATTTTAGAGATTGTTGGAGCTGCCATGAAACCAGTTGGCAGGCATGCTATGTTTTACTTTGCAGCGGCTGTCTCTGACTTCTACATCCCTTGGAACTCCATGGTAAGAACTTCTCGTCTTCTCTTGTTTTGTTTTCGGTGGAAATCTCAAAAATAATCTTCTCTAAGATCCTGTCAAAACTATCTCACCGAAAAATTAAATGTTTAAAGTGTCAGATATATTTAGGTTAAATATATTCAGGGAAGAAGCTCAAAGCAATCATTTCCTTAAATGAACGAAACCATTTTTAGGGTTGGCAGTCCAGGAGGAGCGTGGGGTTTTGATAAATTTATATGGAATAATATACTCTAGGAAAACTAGTGTTGATTATACTTATATAGTGGGTGATAATATAAGAATTAGAGAGTCTAAAGTTAGAGTAAATATTGATGGATAAATAGAGTAAATTAGTGAAGTATTTAAGAGCTAACTTTAATTCTAACCTGTCAGAAAGATTTACTTATAAGCTTTTTCTAAATTCCTTGTATGTGAGTTTTAATCCAAGATCAAACAATATATAAAGCTTTTCACTTGGGTTCTTTTATTTAGAGTGTAAAAAAAGTTTAAAGCATTCTTATGCATTTCTAAGTAATGCAGATAAATCTTAGATAAAGCTTTTCAATGAACTCTAAAACAAAATTTTAGGAATTAGCAGTTACAAAATCTTTATATTTTTTTATTCAGATATGTGTTTGTTAGTTTTAATGAGTGTTTTGAGAGTATTTGAGTGAGATTTTTAAATTTACTTTTTTACAAGATTGTTATAAATGTTTTTAGAGTTTGGTTTCATGATTTTTAGAGTAGTGTACAAAAAGTTTAAAAGTTTTTTTTAAATCTTTTTGTTAGTTTATGCTTATAAGGAATTTTTAAAAGTTTGAGAGATTTTTCTTATATATTTATCCCTTGTATCATCTTATCGTTTAGTTTAGTGCCCTTGAGTATATATAGCTATTTGATGTCTCATGTATAATCATCTCTTTTGATTGAGAAACTTTTACTTGAATGGAGAACAACATCTAATATATAGTAAGTGTATAAGAGGTTATAAAGTGTTATAAAAAGTGATTTTAAAATCCTTGAGTGTTTAGCAAGCATAAAACCTTGTGATTGAGCTCTCCAAGCTCTAGACTAACATCATAGTATATACATAGTTTTTGTATTTGGCGCATTTTAGAAGTTTAATGTCTATTCATATGCATTAGTCAAGTGTTGTTGCTATATAAACTCCTCTTTGGACACATATAACTTAAAGGAATTCTTAAGGTTTATATGCTAGTAATTATTAGACAATGTTGTTGGTAAATGAGTCTTCATCATTTATAATAGATTCCAAAGAAGAGCACAATTAAAACATTACACCAATGGTGGCAACTATTCATATCCTTTATAGGGCAATGGACTTCCCAAAGTTCTATCTTGGATCAAGTATTTTGGCTTACAATCATATTAATCAATTTCAAACTTACTTAAGATACAACAAAATCACCAAAGATGCTTTGTCCCAAGAATTATTCTTGAGATCCTTAAAAACAATAGTAGTAGATTGGGCATCTTTCTTGCTTCCAAATGAATGATGGTCATTGTCTACAATGATTGACAAATTTCTCAAACAATTTAGAATGGAGAAAACTAACTAACAACTCTACATAAACTGTTTTAAGTTTGGCAAATGCTGCAAAAGAATATCAATAACTACACTATCCAATTTAAAAAGTATTAGTGTGCATGTTTGCTATAGACAGATGAGAAGCCCATGGTGTCAGCATTCATCCAAAACTCAAGCTTGAAGTGCAACACAAAGTCCTCAAGTGCCAACATGAAACTTGCAAACTAACATTTAGCTATGCATTAAAGGACATGCTCTTTGAGCTTGGCATGCACCATGACATCCACTCTTAACCAGGCTTCCAGGCCCAAATGTGTGCCATTCCCAATCTACCACATGTTGTTAAAGACAAGATGCCCACAGTGATTGAGTTGGTGCTTAATGAGCTTAAAGAGCATTGAGCATTTGTGCAACAGTAGACTCAATAGCAAGAGAAGCTTGTGGAGGAGCTACAATCTCTTAGGATGTAGACTGAAACTCGGTGGCATCATTACTGGTGCAAGAAATATAACGTTGATACACACAACATTGCAAGATGTTGGAACTCCATCTAGAACTTTGGCTTTAGTGACCACAGTGAGTCCAATGACAACCACTTGCAAACAACACAACCCTAGCTTCGTCCTCCATAGATTATCATGAGAATGACAGTCTGGGGCATTGAGCCAAACATGGTGACTTACAACAGCTTGATCCATGGCTTATGCATGACCAACGGGGTAGACTCCACACTTTTGCTGATGGAAGAGATGACAGCAACAGGGTGCCTTCCGGATATCAACACCTACAACACACTTATTGATGGCCTTTGCAAGACAGGAAGGGTGCCAGAAGCGAACAGGCTGTTTGGAGAAATGAAGGCCAAGTTTTGCAACCCAGATGTTATCACGTACAGCTGCTTGATTGGTGGGTTTTGTAAGCTAGATAGGATCAACATGGCTTGCACGTTGTTCGATGACATGCTCAAGCAGGCAGCCCTCCCCGACGTCGTCACATTCCCGACACTAGTGGAAGGATACTGTAATGCTGGACTGGTGGATGACGCCGAGAGGCTTCTGGAAGAGATGGTTGCTAGTGACTGCTCTCCAGACGTGTATACGTACACAAGCCTGGTCGACGACTTCTGCAAAGTCAAAAGAATGGTGGAGGCGCACAGAGTTCTCAAGCGAATGGCCAAGGGGGGGTGTACAGGAGCTTGACCGGTGGCTTCTGTGGGACTGGGGACCTGGAAGAGGCTCACAAGATGCTCGAGAGACTGGAGCACAACGAGAACCGTTGGAAAATGGATCTGCCAATCCATGCCTACCACAGGCCATCCAACCATAGCTCCGATACCATATTGGAAAATATGGTCTACTAGACAGGCCAGGGATTAAACCCAAGACCTCCTACACTAGTGCCAGGTGCTCTACCACTGAGCTACCTGCCCTGGTTGTGTGCATGTTCAGCTTAGTTCTAACAAGAACTGCAAGGCAGATATGTTCGCGTACCGGATGATGATGGACGGGCTGTGTAGAACCGGGAGAATGAGCGCAGCTCTGGAGCTTCTCGAGGCCATCAAGCAGAGTGGCACGCCTCCTCGCCACGATATCTATGTGGCGTTGATCAGGGGGCTGTGCCAGGGGAAAGAGCTCCGCAAAGCCATGGAAGTTTTGGAAGAGATGACGCTCTCAAGGAAAGGCAGGCCAAATGCCAAGGCTTACAAGGCGGTGATCCAGGAGCTAGCGAGAGAAGGGAGACACGAAAAGGCAAATGCACTCTCAGACGAATTACTTGGTAACAAAGGCCAGTAAAACGAGATTTGTAATCACAAATCCGGAACATTGTGTGAACACTATCTGGGATGTTTCCTAAGGTTTTTCGCAGAAATCAGCAACCATTCAACTATTTAGTTTGAATTTGCTTCTAATTTTATCTATAAAAGCCCTCTTTCAGTGTTTAAAATTCACTTAGGAACTCTTCTTTCATGGCTCTTCCATCCATTGCGAGGATTTTCGCAGCAGAGAAAAGCTATTCCATTCCACCAGTGTGTAAACTCCTTGCCTCTCCAGTGTTGAATCCGCTGTACGATGCAAAGGCCGACGCTCAGATCGATGCGTGGTGCGCGGAGTTTCTGAAGTTGCAACCTGGAAGCGAGAAAGCTGTGTTTGTTCAAGAAAGCAGGCTTGGATTGCTCGCGGCTTATGTTTACCCCAGCATTCCATACGAGAAGATTGTTCCGGTTGCAAAGTTCTTCGCTTGGTTCTTTCTTGCAGATGACATTCTGGATAGCCCGGAGATCTCCTCGTCAGACATGAGATATGTGGCAACTGCATACAAGATGGTTTTCAAGGGAAGATTTGACGAGGCCACGCTTCCAGTGAAAAATCCGGAGCTGCTGAGGCAAATGAAGATGTTAGCTGAGGTTTTGGAAGAACTGTCCCTCCATATAGTGGATGAATCAGGCCGATTCGTGGATGCTATGACCAAGGTGCTCGACATGTTTGAGATTGAATCGAGCTGGCTTCGCAAGCAAATCCTTCCCAACCTGGATACGTACCTCTGGCTGAGAGAGATCACATCTGGTGTGGCTCCTTGCTTTGCTCTGATTGATGGTTTACTGCAACTTAGGCTGGAGGAGCGTGGCGTGCTGGATCATCCTCTCATACGCAAGGTTGAGGAGATTGGGACGCACCACATTGCGCTCCACAATGACTTGATCTCGTTCAGGAAGGAGTGGGCGAAAGGAAACTACCTCAACGCCGTGCCCATTCTCGCCAGCAATTGTAAGTGTGGCTTGAACGAGGCAATTGGCAAGGTTGCGAGCATGGTGGAGGATTTGGAGAAGGATTTCGCCCAGACAAAGCATGAGATCGTTTCAAGTGGGTTTGCCATGAAGCAAGGAGTCATGGACTATGTGGACGGGATAGAGGTGTGGATGGCCGGAAACGTAGAATGGGGATGGACGAGCGCTAGATACCATGGAATTGGGTGGATCCCTCCTGCAGGTAGAATGGGGATGGACGAGCGCTAGATACAATGGAATTGGATGGATCCTTCCTCCAGAAAAATCAGCGACCTTCCAACTCTAGATTGTTGCTCAGTTCTATCAAATAAGCAAATTGAAATGCACAGTAGATGTGGTATCAACATCAAACACGCAGCTCAGATCTTCCATGGTATGGCCAAGAGGGACAAGTTCAGCTGGGATCTTTTGCTGGTTGCCTGCTGCAAAAACGGGCACTTTGATGAAGCGCACTGTGATGGGCATCTTGATTCTGCCAAGGTAGTCTTTAGCAAAATGCCTGCTCGCAACTTGGTCTCGTGGACGACGATGCTGGGGGTTTTATCTCAGCTCGCGGATGTAGAAAGCACTTTTGAAGAGATGATTACGTATGGAAGAGAATCAAAGAGGCAGCTGGCTTCCTCAAGGCGTATAGGCGACGAGCAGCGTTGTGACGGAGACAAGATCGTGCTGCGGCATCTGATCGTGAAAGAAGCGCTCCGACTCTTTCAGGAGGCCGCAGTGGACGTAGCCGGAAAGAATTGCCGTGCAAGTCGAGAGATTCCTCACACGCTGGAAGAGCTCCAGAGAAGACTCCAGATGCCAGTGACGGGAGACACGATGTCGTCTCGTGCACTTGCGCAATTGCAGCATTGCTGTGTGTGGAACGCCATAGCTACGGGATTAACCCAATGCGTCCTCCTGGACGAAACCATGAAAATCCTCGACAAAATACCGGCATGGAATCTTGCGACCTGGAACACGCTGCTAACATCACACTCCTTGCAAGGGAATCTTACCGGGGCTAGAAGAGTCTTTCACGAAATGCCAGACAAGAACTTGGAGTCGCGGAACGCCATGCTCTCGACATATGCCCAAAACGGGCATATTTCTCTTGCAAGGAAGTGTTCCAAACGATGCCCTTGCGCAGCGTTGAATCCTTCAGTGCAATGCTGACCGCATATGCCCAAGCCGGCAGCCCCAGCGACGTGTTTGATTCCTTCGAAGAGATGAAGCTAGTGGAGATGCCCGACGATTCCTGCTTCACTTTGGTGCTGATTGCGAGCAGCCAAGTTGGCGAGCCCAAAGTCGGCGGCTCCTACTTCAGCTCCATGCGTCTGGATTACGGGGTGGCGGCGAGGAAGCAACACTACTGCTGCATCGTGGACATGCTGGGGCGAGCGGGATACCTGGATGCGGCGGAAGAGCTTGCGCAAACCATGCCTTTTCTTCCCAACTCGTGGGACTGGACGTCCATGCTAAGTTCTTCCAGACGCGATAGAATCTGGAAAAACGGTGCTCGAGTGACGAAACGAGCTTTGCTTTCGAGCCGCATGTTCTTGTGCTGCTCGCAAACTCACGCTCACTACTTTTCCAAAACTCGACCTTTATAAAACGGGTTATCGAATTTAGGGTTCATCGGTCATAATGGAGCAAGAAGCTCAATCGTTCTTCGATTCGGCCCCGCCTCTCCGATGCCGCGACGATGTGGTCGCGAGCGTGAATCGCTTCTTGGATATCTGGAAGGCGGCATCGGCCATCGGCCAGGTTTTATCCTTAACTAGCATTTCTCGTATTTTGGAGCTGAATCGCGTGATTCTAGACGAGGCGCATTGCCATTGTTACATCCGGGGGCACGACCGTGCCCTTGGAGCGACGATGCGTTAGGGTCATTGACAATTTCAGCTCGGGGAGTCGAGGAGCAGCCTCCACAGAGTGCGTTATTCTTTCTACTCATTCTTCTTTTATGATTTTTTCTTTTTTTTTTGTTGCAAGGTACTTCCTTGCAAGTGACTATGCTGTGATTTTCCTTCATCGGAGGCAAGCAGCACTCTTTTTTTCTTTTGCAAATGGTGATGCTACTTTCGTGAAATACTTTTTAGAGGATCTATGCAGCCATTTTGCCGCTCGCTGCCGGATAATCCTATACAAGAATGTCTCGAGCCTGTGGATGGATCAATCCGGGGTAAGCGAAATCTGCCTTTTATTTCTTCGAGAGTTTAACTCCCGCTTCGCAGCACGAGAAAAATGGTTTGATGCTGTCACTCGGGCAGTCACAGGACATCATTCTGTAAGCTCAGTTCTTGTTTCTCTTCTTGAGTTCTTAAGAATCAAAACAGGCGGTGCTCCAGAAGAAGCTCTTGAAGCTCGAGTTCACTACGCTCTTTGAGTACCTCCAAGTAAGAAACGTGCCGCGCAAACTCTGGTCTGTATGACGGTTTTTCGTGGCAGATTTTAGAGATTGTTGGAGCTGCCATGAAACCAGTTGGCAGGCATGCTATGTTTTACTTTGCAGCCGCTGTCTCCGACTTCTACGTCCCCTGGAACTCCATGGTAAGAACTTCTCGTCTGCTCTCGTTTTGTTTTCGGTGGAAATCTCAAAAATAATCTTCTCTATCCAGATGGAGCACAAGATCCAGTCGGATGACGGCTCGATGACAATGCAGCTCGCTCCGGTTCCAAAGATGCTTGGATTGTTACGAAAGCATTGGGCTCCGGAGGCCTTTTGCGTCTCGTTCAAGGTTTTTCATTTCCTCTTTACTCTTCTTCTCTATAGCAGCTCAATCGAGCAAAGTTTTCTCTCGTATCAGCTGGAAACGGACGTGGACATACTCCTCAAGAAAGCACGCTCGTCGCTTTGCAAGTATGGCATGCACGCGGTGGTCGCCAACGAGCTCGAAACGAGGAAGAACAAGGTCGTGGTTGTGACGAGAAAAGTAGAGATGGTTTTGGAAAAGGGTGACTGCCCCGACATAGAGTTGCCGCTGGTGAATTGTCTGGTCGCCCGGCAGACCATGTATCTCCAGCAGCAACAAGCATGAATTTGGCAGCAGCACGAGAGCCTCGCGATGTAGGCCAAGTCCACTCACTCGCGAGTTCTTCCTTGTCTCAAGCACTTCCCAGCTCCCAGGTCTTCCTCTCCAATCTCCTCATATAAATGTATGGAAGATGCGGCCGACGCTCTCTTTGTGTTTGAGGGGTCTTGTTTGAACTCTTGTTCTCGGCATATGCCCAAAAACGGACATCCACAAAGGTCATGGACGGCCATGTTGGTATTATACGCACGGAATGGCACCTTGGCGATGCCATGGGAACATGTCGTTCAGAGACACTGTGGCCAACTGTGGCATATGCATCTTGTTAAAGAGCTTAAAATTTCTAGAGAGATGCTCAAAGAATCTTGTAGGGGGCATCTTGTTGGCGCCAAGTTCAGCGAGAGGGATGATGCCCGAGCGAGATCTTGCGTGGAGCGTGATCTCGTGTCCTTGGCCAGAGTCTGTGGCATCTGATGAGCAGTAGCTGGGCATAGGCGGACAAGCTGTCCTTGAAATCCCCTTACAAATGCTCAGCTAATTTCTTATGCCGAGCGGGGCGATTGGATCCGCTAAGCTTTCCTTTGATGCTATGCCGGGATCAAGTATCCTGGAATGCTAAAATTTTTGTGCCGGGCATTTGTCACTGTCGAAACTGATGCTTGATAGTGTTCCTTATCATATTGGAATGCAATGTTATCAGCAGCATCTTCAGTTTTCCGAATCAGTTTCTTTCATCAAATGCCAGACGTGTCTTGGAATGCAATGTTTTTCTTCATGCTTGTTATTTCCTTCAACACCATTTAGCTTGGAGGGAAACAAGGTATCGTTTTTCAAGCAACGGAAACACTAAGGATACTATCCCTGACACCCTTTGGTCAGTTGGATCCAATCGACTTAGGGTGTGAAGGATAAAATCTTAACAGTGGCTCTTTTGGACCATCTATTGCTGGACTCACTATAACGGGGGAATGTGTTAATCTTTTTACGTAAAAGCGTTCATATGTGTGGAGCTAAAGAAGTTGTACTTGCTATGTAAACAACTGTGAAGTACTAATGAGGAATAAGCCTTTGTTGTTTCAATGGTTTAGATTTTTGGTTATATATTTCTTACGGTTTGAATTACATCATAAGATCTAAATTTTAACGAATAAAATTCACTTTTATGGCCTGCGATGGAGGAAAGAGTGCCCAGCATGGTGATCAGGAGTTTTCCATTTACTAGGTTGGTAGCTTGGTGCTTCAATCAAGCTAGCTTGCCCTATCGTTCATATCTCTCTGTGGCGGAAAACAAGCTATGGCACCAGTGTATATGCTGAGTCCGCTGCTCCAAGCAACCTCTAAACGTCTCAGATTCTCTGCCAAATTTTACTCCTTCCTGGTTTTGCTGGCTGCTTATAGTGCATTTCATGCTTTGGCTGGCTGGATCTAGGACTTTATTCTCAGCACGCTTGTACTTAGCAGGCTTTTATTCCAGTGTCAAGCAAGCATATGGCTCTAGAGAATGAAACTCCAGCTAGAATCATCCAACTCCAGCTTCATCCACTGGATCAGCTTGCTGGTGGCAGCATTCACGCAGCCCAAGCCAAATGATCTGGATGACGTTTCACGCATGTTCTGTTAATCCCATTGTTTGCTCTTAACATTCCCCAAAGACATCAGTGGATTCATTGATTACAATGATACGTGATGTGACTTTATCTTTCTTTTTTCACATTTCTGCAAAGCAGTTTCTTCAGTCCAAGGACACCCATCAGTGAGTGCTCAATGTTAAACTTTCTTTGCTGCCTCTGACCTTGTGCTTTCAAGGTCCAAGTCAGGAGTCTCCTAATGAACTCATTGTGTTTTTTATTGACTCTCTTGCAGGTTTGTGCCAGCTTGATCAGATGCTTGAGCACTATCAATTCAAAGTGCCTGCACCTGTAACCTGTTTTTCACCTGACGTTGCTCAAGTGTTTTTAGATTGATTAGTGTTTTATAGACATCGTAGATACTCACACAGGCTGTGAGCTGTTGTCTACTAGGTGTGGTGACAAGATTTGGTGACACTTCCAAGAAATTTTTGAGACTTAGTTATGTCTGATTAAGATTAAGAAAATGATGAATGCTATCAAAACAAATAGGAAGTGTTAAATTTTATTTATAATGATAACTATTTGATTAAAACAAACTGAAATAAGAAGAACAGAAAATCAATTAAGCTGCACTAATGCGAAGCTCAATCATGTATTGTGATTTGACTAAATTAAATATTAAATCAGATTAAAATAAGTTATATAAGAATAAAAAATGAAGTTTAGATCAACATTTGATTTCTATCAAACCTCAAAAATATTATTCTGAACATAGCAAAATCCTGATATTTCACATATACTTGCTCCAATTGATTTGGGAGCAATTGAGTTTATAGTAGTTTTAAGGGAATTTAAGCAATTTATACAACTATAACTTGGAGGAAATTGAAAAACCATAAATATTTCCTTTATGCACACAATTAGGATATATTCATGATATATTTTTATTGATCAAAAGACTATAAATAGTAGGTAAATTTCTTTCAAATAGGTGATACTATTATATCTAACTATGCATGGCTCTGGTGCATCAAAAGGGCAAAAATTTGAATGTAATTCTTGTATCTTTAGTACTGTTAGAGTTAAAAAATTTAGAATTTTTATTTCTAACTACTGAAAATAGAAAAGATAAACTACTATGTTGAGGAATGTATTCATAAATATGAAAGTTGAGGCTATATAGTGATAATTTTAATAGTAAATAATTAGTTTTTATCTATCTGGTGAAGAAAGTAATGAAAATTGTAGTTGGCTTGGTTAAATAACAATAAAAATAAGACATTGTAATATATATATATATATATATATATATATATATATATATAAATATAAATTATTGTTATCTATAATTTCAAGGTTTAATTGGGCTTTTTTTCAGCAGAACTGTATGTATTAAATTATTAGAGAAATATACAAAAGTTTTAAACTATAGAAGAAATAAAACTTTACCATCATTTCAGTTATTAATAAAATTATTTGTAAATCTTTATCATTTATTATTTATATTCATTTATCTCTAAAATTATTATAATTAATAGATATAAAACACCAATCCTTAAGTCCTAAAATAGAGCTAAAAGGTGTGCTATGTAGCAATGGCTGAGGCAAAAGTTCAATAAACATAAAATATTTAGACTAAAAGTTTTGACTTGAAAAATTAAAAATGAGAGTGAAAATTTAAAGAAGGCTTGAGGAAAAAATACTAAATAAGTAATGAATGAGTTTCTAAAAAAGGATTAAAGAATGACTAATGTGTTTTGATATATAAAAGTGTCAAAACTGAAGTGCTAAACTCTAATACTCAAAATAGAACAATATCAAAACTATCTCACTTTGACCAAAAAATATAATGTTTAAAGTGTCAGACATATATAGGGCTAAATATATTCAAGCGTAAATATATCTAGGGGTGCCCAAAGCAATCATTTTATAGATTTTTGGGGCTTTCCCCTGGCACAGCCCCCTGATCAACGCCACATAGATATTGTGGTGAGGAGGCGTGCCACTCTGCTTGATGGCCTCGAGAAGCTCCAGAACTGCACTCATTCTCCCTGTTCTACACAGCCTGTCCATCATCACTCGGTACACGAACATATCCGCCGAAAAGTACTAGGTTGGATGACCTTTCAAAAAGTCCAAATTCAAGAGGTTACAAAAAGCCCAAAGCAATTGTCTCCTAAACTTTAAGCGTGAAAAGAACTAGAACAAGAACAGTGTGTTTAGGGTTTTGGGGATTTGGCGCCTTGCCGCTGCGGCGCATGGCGGCCTTAGTGCTGGCTCAAAAGCTGCATCAAAAACATTACCTGACGCGAGAGATAGCATGGGTTACCAGTTTGGCACTCACTGCAAGATGTGGTGGGTGATGATATAACCACTGAAGAGTTCAAGGCTAAAGTGAACATAGACAAACAAATGGGTTAACTTAGTGAAGTGTTCAAGAGCCTACTCTAGCTCCTCTAGGAGATCAAATGGTTAGAAGCCACCGATCAAGCTCCTGTACGTGATAACGTTCGGCTGGACGCCATTGCCAACCATCTCCTCCAGCAGCTTGTAAGCCACCGTCGGCTTCCCAGCTCTGCAGAACGCGTCAATGAGAGCGGTGTAAGTCACCACGTTGGGCTGGCATCCCCGCTTGGCCATTCGCTTGAGAACTCTGCGCACCTCCACCAATCTTCTGACTTTGCAGAAACCGTCGACCAGGCTTGTGTAGGTATACACGTCCGGAGAGCAGTCACTGGCAACCATCTCTTCCAGAAGCCTCTTGGCGTCATCCACCAGTCCAGCATTACAGTATCCTTCCACTAGTGTCGAGAAAGTGACGATGTCGGGGAGGACTGCCTGCTTGTATGTGATAACATCTGGGTTGCAAAACTTGGCCTTCATTTCTCCAAACAGCCTGTTCGCTTCTGGCACCCTTCCCAGCCTTGCAAAGTCCGTCAATAAGTGTGTTGTAGGTGATGATATCCGGAAGGCACCCTGTTGCTGTCATCTCTTCCATCAGCAAAAGTGTGGAGTCTACCCTGTTGGCCATGCAAAAGCCATGGATCAAGCTGTTGTAAGTCACCACGTTTGGCTCAATGCCCCAGACTATCACTCTCATGATAATCTGTGGAAGATGAAGCTAGGGCTGTGTTGTTTGCAAGTGGTTGTCCTTGGACTCACTGTGGTCACTAGAGCCAAAGTTCTAGATGGAGTTTTAACACCTCACAATGTTGTGTATATTAACTTTGCATTCCTCACACCACCAGTGATACCACTAATTTTCAATTTATATCCTAAAAGATTATAGCTCTTCCACAAGCTTCTTTTGTTATTGGGTTTACTGCTACTCAATGCTCCTTAAGCTCATTGAGTGCTACACTATGGGCATCTTGTCCTTAACGACATGTGCTAGCTTGGCAATAGCACATATTTGAGCTTGGAAGCTTGGCAAGAGTGGATATTGTGATGCATGCCAAGCTCAAAGAGTATGTCCTTTATCACCTTTAATGCATGGCCAAATGTTATTTTGCAAGCTTCATATTGGCACTTGAGGACTTTACATTGTATTTCAAGTTTGAGTCCTTGGATGAATGCTAACACCATGGGCTTCTCATTTGCTATCAACCTTTATAACAAGCATGCACACCAATGCTTCTTAAATTGGATAGTGTAGTTATTGATACCCTTTTGTAGCATTTCCCAAAATTAAAACAGTTTATGTAGAGTTGTGTTGTGAATGTGATTTCGGGTATTGAAAAATACTTGTTAGCTAGTCCTTATGGGCACTCTTTCCTTACTGCCATGACACCAGGAGGTCGGTACTACTGGTCCCTTTTATGGTCTCCACCCAAGCTAGTTGAGAAACTGATCATCGCGTGTGCACTTGACCAGATGAGCATAAGGACGGAATTCTTACATGCTATTTGTCAAGCATACTTGACTTAGTTAGAGAAACTCATTTGTTGACTTGCACTTGTTAGTGTTGGAAACCCCCGCGATATTGAGACTAGTCCCTCAATATTCGCTAAATGATAGATTACCGTGTTTGCCAAACACCCTCGCTATCATGCCCTTTGTGTTAGTCTCATTTTGGTCCCAAGTGCTATTTATGGAAAGTGTTTAGATTAGCTCATTTGGTATATCTACGGAATGTAGAGATCGGCCTGAACACAATGGTGTTCGTCCCGTGTCCAAATTCGCAATCTATCACCATTCCATATTTAGTAAGTTTTGGACTTGTCCCAGAGACTAACTTCTGGTACTAAGAGAGGCTGGGGG